GCTCCCCGCCTCTTTCCGGTGGCGAGAGGCCGCGGGTCAACGTCCGCCAGCCCTCGGCGAGCTCGGCAGGCACCGAGCGGGCGGCCGGGCACCGCCAGGAGCGCGGGGTGGGCGTGAGCCCGCGGGTAAATCTGTAACGGCGGGGCCGTGCGTGCCAGTGCGAGTGACAGGCGGTGTGACCGTCGGGCTCGTGACGGGCGAGGGGTGGGGCAGCTCCTGGACTGTGCCAGTCGGACCGTGCCAGCCGCTCCGGCTCCTCGGCACGGGGGGCGTAAGTCCCCCTCAGGCTGTGCGCACTGGAGCCGCCCATTAGACCCCGGCTGCGCGGTGGGCCCCCGGCCAGCTCTGCCCTTTGCCCCAGGGGCGCAGCCAACGCCTCACCCGCTGCACCGCGGAGGCAGGCTGGGCTTCAGCTGGGGCTCCACCTCGCCCCTCCCGGGTCGAAGTCCCGGAGCGCTCACCCACCAGGGAGCGAACAGTCCAACCACAGAGCTGCTTTAATGCTTAGACCGCGTTCCCACCCCGTCCCCCGCAGAGCATATCGACTCACTCAGCTAAGCTGCCCGGACCCTGCCTCTCCCGCCAACCCGTGGTCAGGGGACGCAGGTAACGCCGGCCCAACCCCCAGCCCTGTGCCACCCAGGGCCCCACCCACCCAGAAGTGTTCGGTCCTACAACCATCACCCACAGCGCATTCTCCGTGTGACCGTCAGGCCCACTTTACAGACAGGCACAGAGAGCCGAGGCACAGGGTGAGGAAGTACTGCACCCCTGCGACGCCCAACTCCCGCTCCAGCCCCAAGCAACCCAGCACTCCCGCTCCCGCTCCCCACAAAGCCTGCCGGCAGAGACCCGCACTCTCCTGGCCAGACAACTGTGATTTTTACTGTGCCTGTGAAATGAAATGAGAAGCCCTGGCTGGGCCTGCCCCTCTGCCCTCTGCCCTCCAACCCCAGGAACGGCCTCCCTGGAAGGGCAGAGCGATAGTCCGGATCCCCCGCACTCAGGCCAGGCCTGGGGAAAGTGGTCAGGGCAAGCGGTCAAGGAAGGCAAGGAGGGCGAGGTGGAAGTCCCGCGGCTTGTGGAGGTAGCAGGCATGGCCGGCGTTGTGTAGCTTCACCACAGAGTGGTTGGGCAGGTGGCGCAGCTGCCTCAGCGACTCTTGGGCCAGGACGCGGTCCAGTTCCCCAAACACAATGAGGGTCGGAGTCTGCAGGGCAAGGTAGGAGGCGGTGATCCTGCGGCCTGGTGAGGATCTGACCCAGGGAGCCTTCCCCACACACCCGCCTCTTCCATCCAAGATCAGCAGGGTGAGGCTCCAAGTAAGACCCAAGGGCCTGACCTCCACCTCCCACCAGGACGCAAGCCAGGGACAGGGTGCTAGGACTTGCGCAGGGTCTTCTGGTACCTTCACTGCCCCAAACTGCTTCTGGGTGTAGTTCTGGGTGGAGGTGGGTGCGATGGGCACGAATCCATGTAGCTGCTGGTGGCCTTGGATCAGGAAGGGCAGGGCATAGCGGCCGCTGAGTGAGGGGCTCACCAGCACCACATTCTTCATCTGCAGCTCCTGCAGTACCTGCTGCAGCAGCTCTGCCCGCCCTGCCTCTGTGCTTGCCTCCTTCGCAGGAGCTGAGTTCCCAAAACCTGGGGACAGCAGCAGGGGCTAAGGCTGGCTAGGAAGTGCCCAGGAGCGGCTGCCAACCACAGTGGGGGAGAGAGATGGGGACCAGTGTGGTGCATGGCACACACCGCCCCAAACCTTCACAAGGGATTATTTTTGGAATACGCCTGCTAGGAAAAAAAAAATCTTTCGTTCATCATACTGGCAAAACTAAAAAACAAAACAAAAAACTGGTAATACTCAGTATTGGAGAAGATGTCAGGGAATGGGTACTTTGGTATATATGAGTGATAGAAGGATAAATCTATACACTTTTGTTTTTGTTTTGTCTCTTTGAGAGACAGGGTCTTGCTATACAGTTCAGGCTGGCCTTGAGCTCACTTTGTAGCCCAGGCTGGTCTTGAACTCGCACCGATCCTCCTGCCTCAGCTTCCCAAGTGCTGGGATTACAGGCATGCGCCACCATGCCCAGCTTCATACATTGTTTTCTGAGGTTAAGGTAGTATTTGTCAAAATTTTTTTAAAAAGTGTATCCTTTGACCCATCAGTTGTCCTTGATAGCTGCCCTAGAGAGGGCACTGCCCCCATGCTCAAAGAAGCATTCCAAAGATGCTTCACTAAATTACCAAGTTACATTTCAACTGACACCAAACACCCTAACCCACCAGGACAAGGTGGCTGGACTAAGCCTCCTATGGCCCCACTGCACAGCCTGTAGCAGAGGGGCTTCAGGGATGAGCATGATCCGGAAATTGTGATGTAGGGGGAGAAAACCAAGCTCAGACCGATGTGATCAAGAGGCAAGGTGCTCATGTTTACAGTCCGCGCCACATGATCCTGCACACTGTATCTGGATGTAGGGGTGCCCTGCAGAGGGGCTGGTACCCTCACACTGTTTACTGAGGGGGAGAAGTGTGCACGAGTTTCTCAGGGCTTTGCTGTTTTTTGTTGTATTTAAGACAAGAATCATAGCTAAAGGATGCAGATCAGAGGCAGAGCCTGTGCTTAGCATGCATGAGGTCCTGGGTTGGCTCTCCAACACCAAAAAAAGAAAAAGAAAGAGAGAGAGAGAGAGAGAGAGGGAGAAAATCAGAACCAAAGACCAAATAACCATCTATGTAGTTCAAAACAAAACAAAATGCTACATAATTTGTCAGAAAAAAAAACTACAGGGAGATCCCTCCTGTCATTGCTTACAGAGTGAGTCAAATTTCTAGTTGCCAGGTGACACATTAATTCACACTGTAGTTTATTTATTTTTGTCATTTCGAGACAGGGTCTCGCTATGCAGTTTATTCTGGCCTTGAGCTCATTTTGTAGCCCAGGCTGGCCTCGAACTTGCAGTGATCCTCCTGCCTCAGCCTCCTGAGTGCTGGGATTACAGGAGTGTGCCACCACACCCAGCCCACACTGTAGTTTTCGGGGTATAAAATAAAAATCGGCCCTTTCCACGGTGCCACCTCATGTTGTGACCTGCCACTGCTTGTTTACAGACATTGAGGTCCAGGTGATCCCAGCCACCTTAGGGCTTCTCTGTCCCTCCCGCTCTGTCCCACCTTCGTAATGGCTGCATCCTGCCTCCCTACACCCGGGGAGAGGGTGCTCACCTGGAAGATCAAGGGCCACGGCCCGGTAGCCCTCTCGAGACAGCAGCTGCAGTGTGCCCAGCTGCTCCCACGTGTGCGAGTTAAAGGCCTTTCCATGGAGCAGCAGGACCTCCGCCCTGTGGACATACAGGGAAGTGTGGGGCCAGGGCACAGTTCTTCCCTGCTAGGCTCGTCCCACTGCCCTCCCAGGCTCTGAGCACCCTGAGGAAGGCTGGGCTCCTCTACTGGATCCTGGAGTCGGCACCCACCTGCGTGGCTGGTGGAGGGGGAGCACCTCGCGGTAAAAGATGGGGGAGCTGCCCCGGGTGAGGCCAGCCAGGACTGTGACATTGGGGTCTCTGCAGAGCCTGGAAGTCTGCTCAGGGGGCCCTGGCAAGCCCACATACAGCAGCAGCAGGAACAGCAGGCCTAGGCCCAGCAGAGCTGCCTGATACCTGCTCATGGCGGTCTATACCACAGCCTAGAGGAGAAGAGAGGAGAGGGAGGAGGCCAGGCTGAACCCTAGTCTCCTGGGCCCTTTCCCCAATCCACCTTGACACTGTCTGCAGAGGAAGAGCTCCAGCCCTTGTCCTCTTCCCTTGCTCTGAACCAAGGCCTGGGGGCTCATACCCAACTACCCCATGTGCCGGCCAAAAGCTCAGCTAGCCCACGGCGCGAAGAGGTGCATGTGCGCTGTCCCTTGGGCACACAGCATGCTCACTGTCCCAGCGAAATCCACTTCCGTTCATGAAGACTGGGGGACAGCAGGCTGCGCGCTCAGCGGACAGGTCCGCAAAGAGTACTGGGGAGCAGAGACGATTCTGGATCCCTGCAGGTGGATTCTCCTGCCTAAGTAGCAAGTGAGGGATCCAGGATTTGAACCTGTGGCTGGGCTCCGAATCATTAGGCCACATTTGGGTTAGAAGGAAGACATGGGAAGGGGTGGAAGTGATGGACGGGCTGCGGCTCTGCTGGCGGACGGAGTGGTGAGGGCTGCCACAGGGGAAAGTGCAAACCAAGGACCTCCACCGAGGGCATGTTTAGGAAGGGCTCTTCCTCACGCTGATTCACTGTTGATGGGATACTCAACAGTCTGCCCTAGCTGGAATTTACCAGAGAACTCTGTGATGGAGGAAATGCTGATGCCTGAGCTAATGTGGGGGTGGCGGGGAGGAGCACAGTCCATCGAGAAATGGCAAGGACAGCCCGGAGGCTGGGAGATGACCGCCCCCAGCTTTGTCCCAAATGACCTGCTTCAAGGAATGCTCCCAGCCAGGAGCTTTGTCTGCCCAGAGGACAGGACCCAAAGAGGGCAAAGAGCCCTGCTTTGAAACTGGACTCTGTCACTGCCTGACTGTGCTGTGTCTTCAGTTTGTCAGTAAAATGGGAAAACCTCATGGCTGCCCTCCCAAGTCTTTTTTTTTTTTGAGACAAGGTCTCACTGTAGAGTTCAAACTGGCCTTGAACTATGTAGCTGTTATAGTTTGTGTCTGTGTGTCCCCCCAAAGCCCCATGCGATCATGAGGCAGGCTTTTAGAGTTTGATTATGGGTGTGAGAGCTACACCCGCCCTGGGATGGATAGTTTGCATATGTAAGGGAGAGGAAGAGGGTGCTTGAGGCCATTCCGCCCTGGTGTGTGTTTTTGTTGCTTTGCTGTGTTCTGCCGCCATGAGATGTAGCCCTCTGCCATGTGCCACTCTGCCTTGCAATCTGGCAAGTATGGACTGAAACCTCAACAAACTGTAAGCAAAATAAACCTTTCCTTCCTTAATTTTGGGCGTCAGGTATTTTGTCCCAGCAACGAGAGAAAAGTAACCAAGACAGTAGCCCACGTTGACAGTGAAGCCACAGTGATCCTCCTGCCTCAGCCTCTCAAGTGCTGGGATTATAGGCCTGTGCCATCACATCTGGCGCTCTCCCAAGCCTTCTGTGTGATGTAAAAAATACAGCAGCCCTGGCCATGGGGGTATCTCCCTCATCATTTCTTTTCCCGGGGTTCGCCTTGGAGAGCCTTGGTGACTGCACGTCTCCCAGGAGGGACGGCCGGAACCTCCCATACTGCCTGGGCATCCCAGGGTTGGGTGGTACCAGCCAGTTTGAAGGGTGCAGCAGTAGGCCACAGTGACAGTGCTGACCACGGCACACACGTCCACACAAGCGCACAGACGTCAGGTCTTGCCCCATACACTTTCTTTTGCACACATCATTCCAATAACGTATGCACAGCTTGCTTGCACACGCACTGGCCCTTGCAGTAACACCCTCAAAATCATGTCAGGAACCAGGCCACGGACAGATGGGCACGATACACTTTCAAAACCACGTGCTGACTCAGAAATACTCGAGCATATAGAATACACACACCTTACAACTACACTCAAGAAACACAAGCACAGGCGGCGGGACACGCGGAGACCTTCGGGAGTGCGCGCACGGAAAGCCTCGCGCACGCCGCAATACACCGGCGGACGCGCAGCGACGCGGCGCGCGGACAGCCACCCGCCCCCGGAACAGGCGCAGCGCGGCC